TTTATATTCTAAGAAATCTGTGTACTGTACTGTTTTCCACAGTGGCTGCATTAATATACATTCCTACCAACAATATATAAGAAAGTGTATCCAAGGAAATATGTGATATCCCAAAGAAGGAGGTACCTCTTTCTGAAGGGAGGAAAGAACTTCGACTTTGAATATGGCCTTGTCTAAATAAGATCTGAGTTGGTGAACTCAAGAAGCTTCCATAGCCTTGGCAACTCATGACAAACTGGTAAAGCCCCTATGGAAGTCAGTCTGGAGATTCCTCAGAAACCTGAAGATAACCCTACCATACAACACAGCCACCCCACTCTTTGGAATTTACCCAAAGGAAATTAAATTGGCAAACAAAAAAGCAGTCTGCACCTTAATGTTTATTGCAGCTCAATTCACAATAGCTAAGACCTGTAACCAACCCAAATGCCCATCAACAGTAGACTGGATACATTATGGGTTATGTACTCTATAGAGTACTATACAGCAGTGAAAAACAATGAAATCTGGTCATTTGCAACAAAATGGAGGAATCTGGAAAACTTCATGCAGTGAAATAAGCCAGTCCCAAAGGGACAAATACCATATGTTCTCCCTGGTTGGTGACAACTAACTGAGTACCAAAAAGGAAACCTGTTGAAATGAAATGGACACTATGAGAAACATTGACTTGATCAGCGCTTGTCCTGACTGTTGATGACCAACTTAATACTTTATCCCTTTTAGTACTTTTTTTGTACTACTTAATACTATACATTGAACTCTGTAATTAACACACAATTATTCTTAGGTGTGTAAATTTAACTGAAAAGTGATCTCTGTTAAATATAAGAGTGAGAATAAGAGAGGGAGGAGATGTACAGTTTGGGACAGGCCCAATCAGACTTGCCCCAAATGGTAGATAAAAAAAATGTGCCAGGGCCGGTTTCTGTCCCAGTTGCCCCTCTTCTAGGCCAGCTCTCTGCTGTGGCCCGGGAGTGCAGTGGAGGATGGCCCAAGTGCTTGGGCCCTGCACTCCATAGGAGATCAGGATAAGTACCTGGCTCCTGGCTTTGGATCAGAGAAGTTCGCTGGCCGCAGCGCGCCAGCCGCACCGGCCATTGGAGGGTGAACCAATGGCAAAGGAAGACCTTTCTCTCTGTCTTCTCTCTCTCACTGCCCACTCTGCCTGGCAAAAAAAATGTGCCAGGGGACTCCAATTCAATACCTTCAAGGTGACATGTACCAATGCCATCTCACTAGTCAAAGTGATCAGTTTTGGTTCACAATTGATCATAATGATAGGATTAAGAGTCAAATGGATCACATAAGCAAGACTAGTGTCTGCTAATACTAACTGATAGATTTAAAAAGGAGAGAACTATCCAACATAGGAAGTGGGATACACAGCAGACTCATAGAATGGCAGATGTCCTAAACAGCACTCTGGCCTCAGAATCAGCCCTTAAGGCATGTAGATCTGGCTGAAGAGCCCATGAGAGTATTTTAGGCATGGAAAGCCAAGACACTCTGGCAAAAAAAAAGACCTAAATGAAAGATCTCTGTAAATGAGATCCCAGCAGAAAGAATGGGCCATCAAAGAAGGAGGTGCCTTTCTCTGAAGGGAGGAGAGAACTTTCACTTTGACTACGACCTTGTCTAAATAAGATTGGAGTTGGCAAACTCAAAAGTCTTCCATAGCCTTGGCAACTCATGACAAAAGCCTAGGGTGATTACTGATGCCATAAACAAGAGTGTCAATTGTTAAGTCAACAACAGGTGTCATTGTGCACTTACTCCCCATGTAGGACCTCTGTCCTTAATGTGTTGTCCAATGTGAATTAATGCTATAACTAGTAGTCAAACAGTACTTTACACTTTGTGTTTCTGTGTGGCAGCAAACTGTTAAAAGCTTTACTTAATATATACTAAATCGATCTTCTGTATATAAAAATAATTGAAAATCAATCTTGATGTGGATGGAATGGGAGAGAGAGCAGGAGATGGGAGGATTGTGTGTGGGAGGGAAGTTATGATGGGGGAAAAGCCACTGTAATGCAAAAGCTGTACTTTGGACATTTATATTTATTGAATAAAAGTTAAAAAAATAAATAAAGTTGATTGAATGTTGGTATATTACTGGTGGAGTACCATCCTAATTCCCAGCAGGAGTTAAATATATTAAATAACTACACTGTGATGAGCTTTGAAAAGAACATTGAATTTTCCAGGTTTCAAACTAATAAGATTCTGTAGATACAACTGCCAAGATGAAACTTTGAAATCAATGTAGATGAGAAACTTTCACAAAGGTCAGGGAAAATACATGGAGTGACAATACCATTCTTGGCTTTCAAATATGTTCTGCACCAAAATAACATTTTCTTTTTTTATTTATTTATTTTTATAACTTTTATTTAATGAATATAAATTTCCAAAGTACAGTTTATGGATTACAATGGCTTCCCCCCTATAACGTCCCTCCCACCCGCAACCCTCTCCTTTCCCACTCCCTCTCCCCTTCCATTCACATCAAGATTCATTTTCGATTCTCTTTATATACAGAAGATCAGTTTAGCATACATTAAGTAAAGATTTCAACAGTTTGCTCCCACACAGAAACATAAAGTGAAAAATACTGTTTGAGTACTAGTTATAGCATTAAATCTCAATGTACAGCACACTAAGGACAAAGATCCTACATGAGGAGTAAGTGCACAGTGACTCCTGTTGTTGACTTAACAAATTGACACTCTTGTTTATGGCCTCAGTAATCACCCTAGGCTCTTGTCATGAGCTGCCAAGGCTATGGAAGCCCCCTGAGTTCACCGACTCTGATCATATTTAGACAAGGCCATGGTCAAAATGGAAGTTCTCTCCTCCCTTGAGAGAAAGGTACCTCCTTCTTTGATGACCCGTTCTTTCCACTGGGATCTCACTCGCAGAAATCTTTCATTTAGTTTTTTTTTTTTCCCCAGAGTGTCTTGGCTTTCCATGCCTGAAATACTCTCATGGGCTTTTCAGCTGGATCCGCATGCCTTAAGGGCTGATTCTGAGGCCAGAGTGCTGTTTAGGACATCTGCCATTCTATGGGCAAAATAACATTTTGACTTAGTTTGTTTTTCCAAGAATTTTGATGATCTTTTGCATAGTAAAAATATGAGGATTAATATACAAAAAAGAAAAATGATGTAATTCTCATCAGTTGAATAGACAATATCTTATGAAAATAAGTACAATGTAGAATTTCATAGTGATCTGGTAGAAATTACAGTAGAAATAATGAAAATGTGAGAGGATTCATGAAAATAACACAAGAAGATAAAGCAGAGATGAGCTTCAGGCAACAACAGATGCTCAAGAGTGTATTCTAGAAGGGTGCCCACGAGTCAGGTACTGGGAGCAGGCCGGTGGCCTGGACTAGAAATAGTCATGGGGTGGCCAAAAGGGGCTCCATCCAAAGACCTCTCAGAAACTGTGGATTATCCCCCTTCTTTATGCCTGTATTCAGCCTAGGTGAGGTACTAGGAGTTTCTGTCCTAAAGGGAGTTGGAGCTGAGCTTGCAGGGGAAGCTTTGCTTCAGGTGAGTGAGAGCTGCCTGTGCGCTGGAGTGGTCTTGTCTGGGGGGCTTCCCTGGGCCAGGACTGGAAATCCCCAGGCTGGGTTGTGTCCTACAGCTGAGGGACAGGGAGTGTCACCCTGCCAGACCTCCAGGGGGCCTTTAGCTGTCATTGACTTTACAGCCAGGGTTTGTCTCATGTCATGTCCTACACACGGGAACGTGCACATCAGAGTAAGTAGATTAACAGAGCTTATCTTAATCATATTGACATTGCTTTGTATTAATAAATTTCCAATATTACTTTGTATGAAACATATAATTTTATTTTATATTTCTGTATGTGTGCATACAAAAACACATTGAAACACAAATAGATAATATCAGTACACATAGTAATAACCACACAGAGAGAGAGAGAGAGAGAGAATATGTCTCTCAGTGCCTATCCCTTCAAGGTGAATGGAAGGCTCTGCCATGACAGTTATTTCCTCACCTAGGAGATGGGAAAGTGCACCATGGAACCTTTCTCTTGCCCACATGCACAACTGACCTCTTCACATAAAGATACAAAAAGCTCCCTCGACAGATCTCACCTCCATGCCATGATATCCTAGACTGGGTGCTCTGTTCATAGTCATTACTGCCTTGGTGTCTGTTGTAAGCAGAATATACTTCTGTGCTCCCCTGCACCCACTCCAGATCAAACTGGATTTCTATGTAACAGTGATCAAAGCAACTGATCTCCTAACCAGCCTCTGATTTCAAAGGACTCCATCCCCTTGGAAATGGTATACATGACCCACATAGGGTTCTCAAGGCTGCTGTACCAGGAAACTAAGTTTTCCTCCACTGAATTCCTCACTATTCACTGCTCCATGGAGGCTTTTGTCATTGTCTGTTTTGGAGCACACATGAAATGTTGCCCCTGATTTGTGGCGCTTGTGTTACATTCACATAACTTGCTAATTTCTGACAAATTGATTATGTCAGATCCAGGTGCCACCTATGAATCCTCCATAATCTCCACATTTCTTTGTAGAGCCGGGAACATGAATAACTTTTCCATAATATAGTAATTAATTTGATAATTACACAGAAAATAATTAATAAAATTTTATTACTTATTTTAGAGCAAACATTCAGGCTGTCTTGTTGAGCCACACTGTGGTAAAGGAACTGCTTGCAAAACCATGTTTAAACTCTCAGAGGCATTGAGGAATAAAGAGCTCACATTGTGGGAACAGGCATTTGGTCTGGCAGTTAAGAGGCAAGGCAAGACTATTCTGTCCAAATCACAGTCCCTGGGTTTGATACCCAGTTCTGATCCTGATTCCAGAATCCTGGTAACCCAGACACTGGGAGGCAGTGGTGATGGCTCAAGTAATTGATTCCCTGGCTCCCAGCTTTGTCCCTGAGCCAGGGCCAAGGTAGATATATGGAGAGAGAATCAGATTATGGTTAGTTCTGTCTTTGCCCCTTAAGTATGTAAGTAAATGAATAAATTTTATAACCATTGATGATATAACCATTGTGAATACATATACAGTTGACACACTCATGGTAAGCAGGAGATTTCATGTCCCTTCTGGGGGTACAGCAGAGTCTGGGCACTCTGGAGTCATGGCTCATGAGAATGTAGGGGCTCACGGCTGGGAAACCCACAGGGATTAGTACAGAGGTGTTCACCAGCCACAAACTGGGATTTTTCAGAACAGTCAGGCAAGTGTGAAAGATGGAGGAGAGAGTGCACAAAGGCACAATGGTGCACACCAGGATGAGGATGCTCTGGGTGGCTCTGGACACTGGGGAGGACCTGGAGGAGGCATTGGTTCCATGGATGTATTGTACCTGCTGCTTGTGCCTGTACAGGGTGAAAACCATGGAGCTGCTGGACCACAGCATGAAGCCCACAAGAAGAACATTTTGGAAAAATAGTACAGCTGCACACAGGGACTCTACGTATTTTCCAGAATTCACAGAAACACAGTACACATGATCAACTTCCTCTGTGATATTTTTGTCAGTTATTCTCTCACGTATGTACAGACGTACTTGGATATTCAGTATCATGTTCAGTATCCAGAAGAGTATAATGAAAGGGCCACTGTATTTGGGAGATTCTGCTTTAAATTCTGCCCACCTGGGTTTCTCAGGACTGATTGTGATGGCCTGGGAGATGCTTAGGAGGCAGGTGCTGCAGGTAGACATATCCCTTCTCACTCTTTGTACATAGAACACAAGCTTGCACCCAGCATCACTAAGGAAATCCTTCATCCCCAAAGCTGTCATGGTTTGGGGGACTCCTCTAACAAGAATGAATAAATAATTGGCTACAGTCAGATGTTTGATGATCAAATCATTGGATCTAAATTTGCATCCTGTGAAGTAGAGATAGAGATAATGGGAAAGAAGAGAAAAATTCCCCAGGATTCCTGTAATAGTTTGTGATAAGTAGATCATCCCCATTATCAAATCTCCAGTGGCCATCCCATCAGCTCCCAATGTCTGATTATTGTCTCTGAGCCTGAAATTTCTATATGGGAAATGAGGCATTAGCTCCACGTATTAATGTCAAGTGAAACTCAGCTTTCTCTGTTCACATTGTTCGCCAGTGGCATCATTTCACCATTACAGATAACTGCTTAATATTTATCCTCTGTGAAAATGCTTCCAAAGAGTTGAACTGGTAGTCTTTAAGGTTACTCATCTAATCACTGGTATAGAGACACTAGTAGTGATTCCTTTTGGCTAGCAGTATTCATTAAATTGGTTATAAATTTATTACACAGGATGATCCAAGCAAGGGATCCTTTAGATGTTTACTTCATTTCTTATGTGCAAAGTGGAATGTTGAGCCTGCTGAGCTTGTACAAAAACAGTTCAATTGACTACAGTGTTATTCTAAGATAGCTACTTAGCTATGTTCTCCAAATAACACATGTGTAGGCTTAGTTATTTTCCTGCTTTGTCAATTTCTCTTAGACTGCTAGTACTTTGCTTTGTCATTTTGTTTGTACAGTTTTAGCTTATGCTTAAAGATTTACTCCATAAGACAATGCCAGCAATGTGTGAACATTAGGTGTTAACATGTAGATAACCTTATTATGGTATAACTTCTGGGTTCTTTCTCCTTGAAAAATTGTATGTAATTCAAAATTGCCTGTAGAAGACAATGGAAACACAATTTGACTTTTATACTAGGATAAAAATAAAACTCAGGAACATATATTGTTCCCTACACTACAGAACTAACACCAGTACCTGGTGAAATTGTGTATTGTAGGAACTGACAATGATTACTTTTGTGTAATATTTTTATACCTTTACTAATATTTACATGAAAGCATTTTCCATAAAGGCTAAATTTTGAAAGGTGTTGAAATATAAAGTGTCTGCCACACAGAACCCTTAGGGTCAAATGATGTGTATTTTATCATTTGGAATTGTGGAGCTTCCAGTTGAGAGAAAATACTTTCAATCCAGAGAAACTCAGGTGACATATTTACACCTGAAAGCTGCCATATCCAGCCAAACACCCCAGGTTAACACTGCCTTTTCCTTAAACAGACTTCTCTTATTAAAGACGGAAGAGAATCTTTCCATAAGTAAGCAAACTTCTGTTTTCATTAGACAACTATGAGTATCTCTATTAGGTATTCCATACAGCCAAATTAGAGAAAACTTTTCTATTCCAGGAATTGCCACTGGGATTCCCTGTCTCTTCCAGTTTATGAAGATTCCTGTAGGTTTGTCCCAGCCCACATCACAGGTCCAGTGCATCTCTGCTGTTTATGAAAGTGGAGTCCGCAACTCCTGTACATAGACTGACCAGTAGATTTATTTGGAACCTAGCCCTTAAGTACATGAAATATCAAATTTCATGATTATCTTCATTGAACACCAAGAATCAAAGTCACTGTGCATGACACCAAATTCCAAGGAGTGGTGCAGTGTGTGGGCCCCCACTTCCCTGTCGTATCTCAGCAGGCATCTCAGAATCCTTCCTCCTTCCTATGAGGCTGGGGCACAGGACCAAGCACAAGCACAGACAAATCCCCTTTCTCATCTGATCACTCACCCAGACTCCTGATATACCTACTCATTTGAAGCATCTTTCTTTCATGCTGACATAGAAATTGTCCAAATTCTTTGAGCTGTTGGGATAAGCACCTGCCTGAAGGTCACCATAGTCAGGCCTGAGTGGCATGGAGGCAGCAGGGCCACTACAAAGGGTGTGTACCTGTGACCTCACCTCCCTGCAGAGCTGCAATTATCTGTTCACCCACAGCTGCCTTGAAAGTGCAAATTGGGGTACTGAGCATAATTGTGAAAACTTTTCCCTTCCATAGGTACATGGAAGTTTCTGAGTCCTCATACTTGAAACTATGATGTAACAGGTGGAGTTATTTAATTCCTTCAGCTCTTACCTACTCCATTCAACAGAATTGAATGGTTATCCTGGGCTTTTCATTTTCTTATTAACTTTTAGTACCCTCAGTTGATTTTGTAATTGATTAGAAATACAAAATATGAGTTGAAATTTCTTCCTTGGATGTTTCTATCAGCAAATCTACTGTTTTCCCAAGTCCACTCTATCATTCCCAAATTTCCAAACCAAGGCTGTAATGACAGACATTACTTAGACTGTTGGTTGGGTCCCTGTGCTCAGTGGTGGACTAGGAGCCAAGATTCCCCACCTGGCTTTTTATATGTTTTGAATGTCTCTGTTCCCAAATCTGACATTAGATAAATCCCTTTCTTGTAACATTCATGAAGTAGAATACATAATTCTATTTTAAGAGAATTAAACATAGCACTGCAAAATGTAAAGTCCAGGACGCTTTTGCGGTTCCCTTATCAATTCTTACAGAAAGTGAAGGTGGTAATATTTTATGTATATATTGACAATTTTATTAAAAATCTACTTTTCATTGAACTAATTCACTGGATTCATAATGTGTGTGTTGCTAATCCACAGTGTTATGTATAATGATCTTTCTATAAATTCATCAGACAGTGGGTGTATAGGTTGCATCCATGTCTTGGCTATTGTGAACATGCAGTAATGACCATGAATATAGATCATCTCTGCAAGATTCTGATTTCATTTGCCTTGGATATATACCCTTAAGTGGGTTTCCTGGGTCTAACAATAGTTTAATTTCTTATTTTTTTGAGAAATTTCCTGCTAATATCAGCAATAACTGTATCCAGTATACTTTCCCATTAACAGTGCACAGGAAATCACTTTTCTCCACATGCTCCCCAACATCTATTTCCTGTTTTTTTTTTATTTGCTCTTTTCTGTCCTGTTCTTTATTTAACAGCCACAAAACTGTGAATTGATGCTTCTATTATGATTTCTATCTGCATGTGCATAGCAATTCATCAAGTTGAGCACCTGTTCATAAACCTGTAAATCATTGGAAATTCTGTTTTGGAAAATGCTCATTCAGGTTCTTTGTCCATTTTTTAATAAGCATACTGGTTATTTTGATATTGAATTCTAGGCATTCATTACATGCTTTTAGATATTAATGTATAATTAGATATGTAATTTGCAAAAATTTCCCCTGAATCCATAGTTTCCTTTACATTTTATTGGTTATTTTCCTTGTTCTGCAAAAACTATCTATTTTTGCATTGTTTCCTTAGTTTTTTGTGTCATATCTAAAATTTCATTGTCAAGATCAATGTCAAGTAGTTTTCCCCCCTAGGAATTCTTTTTTTTTCAGGCCTTAAATTTAAGCCTTTAATTAATTTTGAGGTGATTGGGTTTATGGCGTATGATAATGGTACAATTGAATTTTTTTCAGTGTAATTCTCCAGTGTTTTTAGCACCATTTATTGAAGGGACTCTCCTTATTCCATTGCATTTTCTACAGAACTTGCTGATGCTTAGGGATCTCCATTCTGTTCATATAAAGGTCGTATGTTAGATTTTAGAACAGTACAATAGTGTTGGCATCATGTGGCTTTATAATATATTAGGACACCAGAGACAAAAACCAGATTTGTTCTTCTTTCTTAATATTGTTTTGACTTTTCAAGGTCTTTCATTGTCCACATGAATTTGAACATTTTTTTTCACCTGTAAAAAGTACCATTGTGATTTCCATAGGAATTGAATCTCTAGATCATGTGATAGTATGTATATTGAGAAATATCCCTCCACTCCTGAAACACAGCATATCTATTCATTTATTTGTGTCTGCTTTAATTTTACTCATCAGTCTTTTATGGTTTTCTGCATACACATCATTCAACTTATTCTTTAGGTTTATTCCTAAGTATTTTGTTCTCTGTGATGATATTGTAAATGTGATTACTTTCCTATTTTTGTTTTCTAATCATACTGTCAGACATTAGAAATAAAACTGATTTTTGGCTGGTGCCATGGCTCACTAGGCTAATCCTCTGCCTGCGGCACTGGCACACCGGGTTCTAGTCCAGGTCAGGGCACCGTATTCTGTCTCGGTTGCCCCTCTTCCAGGCCAGCTCTCTGCTATGGCCTGGGAGTGCAGTGGAGGATGGCCCAAGTCCTTGGGCCCTGCACCTGCTTGGGAGACCAGGAGAAGCACCTGGCTCCTGGCTTCAGGTCAGTGTCATACACCGGCTGCAGCACGCTGGCCGCGGCAGCCATTGGAGGGTGAACCAATGGCAAAAGGAAGACCTTTCTCTCTGTCTGTCTGTCTCTCTCTCACTGTTCACTCTGCCTGTCAAAATAAAAAATTTAGAAAAGAAAGAAAACTGATTTTTACATATTGATTTTTACCCTGCAACTGTACTGGATTTATGATTAGTTCTAACATTTTTTAGTGGAATCCTTAGAATTTTTGCATATGAGATCATTCTGAGAGAAGTAAAAATTCTTTTTTAAGAGATTTTTTAAGATTTGCATATTTATTTAGGTGGGGTCAAGATGGTGGAATAGGAAGGGAGCACACTAATAGTCCGGGAAGAGACAGTTTAATACAATGGAGATACTGCAGGTTCAAGAAAGAGTTGGGGAAGAAACAGCAGAGGAAACTCTTCCAGAACAAGTGATTCATGGTGGACCTGCGTGGAGGGTGTGGGAACCCACGGCTCAGAACCCCAGCGGCAGAATCTATGCACCAGCCCTGGAATGTGAGGTGAGCTTAACCTCAATAGACCGAGACACTGGCAAGAAAGCAGAAGAAGGAGCCTAGAATGGAGCTTGAAGCCCTGTGGGGGAAAGTTCACCAGGCTAACTAGAAGAGAGAGGGAAAAAAAAGGGACCAGTATGAACACGAGTTTCTCTCTCTCTGCTCACCTCTCAAAGGTGAGCAAGACAAAGAGCAGGCACCATTTTGGTCATATGTAAAAGCTATGCAACCTCAGGGCTGTGCCCGCCCACTACCAAGCAGAAAAACCTGACTCTAGGGGGTGAAATAACAGGAGATTAGGACATAGTGAATGTGTGGAGCTAATGAACCGAGACTGTGAAAAAAGAGATGGTGGGTGAG